TGATTTGCCTATACAGCACATTCTTCTATCCTCCACAACTACGATTGTGACCTTGTCTGCTTTTTGTTCCGTTTACACAGCGTTTTCCTTCTGCTCCCCCACCATCTCCAGTATGTACGTCCTCCAAGTAGTTAACCCATTCGCCTGTACTGTCGTTGTACATATGATTATTTTGAACATATGATCATGTCTTGCGCATGCTTCACTGGTTACGTGAAATATACATTATTATTATTATTATTATTACACAAACCGTGCCGGTTGTGCGATATTAAGCCCTGACTCAGTACGGGCTCTGCAATGCGATTCTTGAGGATTCTTTCCATGATCTTTAGTGGAATTGGCAGTAGGTTAACTGGTCTATAGTTTCCTACCGATTACCTGGGCCCTCCCTTGTGAAGCACTACCTCTGCTATATTCCATTCTGCTGGTAGTTGTGCGTGACAGGGTCTAGGTTATACAGAGGGGCAGTGGGTGGGCAAGGACTGTTACCAGGGGTTTCAGGATGGCTGGGTTGATGCCATCTGACCCCACCGATTTCCCCCTATTTAGGCGCCACGATGGTCCTCGACCCCCTGGGGAGTATTTCGCGATCTTCCAAACTTGAGATGAACCTCGGATTTTGTTATCCCCCGTTATCCCCAAAGTAGACTACTTCGAAGAAGCGTCTAAAGATTTCCGCTTTCTTCGAGCTAGCTAGGACTAGGTGGTTGCTCTCGTTCCTGAGAGCACCCATAACCGTAAGCAACTTTGAGTTAGCTTGTAAGTAGTTGAAAAATGCCTTAGAGTATTTTTTAATTCCCCGAGCTAGTCTCGTTTCGAAGGTCCTACGGCGACTCACTAGGCACTGATCACCCTATCTGTCTCCCTGAGCTACTGGAGATACTTTTGGTGACTTCAGGTTTTGAGATACTGTCTCCAAGCTTGTCGCTTCCGGGTTTGTGTCCTTGCCACCTTGCTGGACCACCAGGGGAGTTTGCCGTTTCTGCGAACCTTCTTTGGCTGAACAAACTCAGAAGTGAGTATAGAGAGGTTGAACTTAATGTTGGTCCACAGCCCTTCTATCGTGTCGAGCTGCCCCCCCAGTGAATCTCAATTTATTCTGTGGGAAGCTCTCCTCCGTTTCATGTAAGCATTTGGGTCATCTTCCTGTAGACAGAAACGCAGGACCACATGGTCACTCCTCCCTAGGTGTGGGGAGGTTTTCAAGTCGGTCACGTAGTTTGGATATTTACTCAGGACTAGGTTCAATATCCCAGGAGTTTGCCCACTGCAATAACGTCTCCAAAAATTAGCACGCTGTTCGTCCCGTGGACAAACTGCCTGAGGTTTGAGAGTAGTTGCTCATCCTCCACCTGGGATGCTACGGGACTGCGATACACAGCTTACCGCTGGCTTCCTAGTGAGGAGATGTGTTGTTTTCCATATCGGTTCTGAACACACTGAAACCTTTTGGTTTTAAAGACTGGATGCTCTCATTCAGTCGAAACCAAGTTTCGGTTATTGCTATACAGTCGGAGTGCATACACTCCAAGGTTAATTCACCCCACTTGTTCCCCAGGCTGCACGCATTTGTGTTGAACACCCGCAGGCCTGATCTGCGGCTAGCGGTGGAAACCGTGGCGTAGCACTCGGGCTCTAGTCCTGAGTTCTTCCTCCGTTTTTGCACCAGAAGACTTATGGGATATGCCAGACGTTACTGGCTTTGGCTTGGGATTTAGATTGGGTGGCTGCGGGTTGGTTTGGGTGCGTAAACCGGGCCAACTAGTGGGTGGTACAACCGCACTAGATTTTTCCTTGGTTATTGCCTTAGGCAGTCGCAGAGAGGGTGTTACGTTGGGAAGCAGCTTTTCTGTCCAAC